TCATTCTCTCACTTCTACAAGCTCCCATCTATACTTTAAGGATCCTCCATTGAAAAACATATTTGAAACCAGAGAGAGAGACTCAATCTTCGGGTGAGCTTGCTTACGTGCAGAAGCTAAGAATGAATATATCGCCTTCTGAGTGCAGCAGTGGGTGCGAGTCAGGATGGACTATGTACTTGGATCAGCATTCCAATTCTACATATCAATACAGCAAGACTATTGATAAACATTATCAAAGAAAAGGGACATATGTGAACGAGGAGGAAGACGACTATGATTTGTCTATGGTATCAGATGCATCATCAGGCCCTCCACTACTCGAAGATTCTGCTGAAAAGAACAAGAAAAGCGAGAAGAAAAAGAAAGCAAAAGAGCAAAAGAGAGAAGAAAAGAATTTGTATCTTGATGATACTGCTAGCTCTCCTTTGTGTAATTTTTCCCAGGCAAGTTCAGTGAAAACATCACAATGTTCTGAATCAGTTGCAGGCACTGAAAATTCTCATTGAAATGTATTTTATTATTGAATTTCAGGATACTTTGGCACCGGCTAGCATTCATACTTCAGTGGAGCATGTCTCCGGTTTCTCACAAGCGCCGTCTGCTGCACATTTTCAGGTATTAATCTTACTTTTTTTTGCCTACTTTTTCCCTTTCTTTATAATTTTCTTAAGTTATTTACGCGATGTCTAATTTTTTGTATGTTGAATCGATGATAAAGAAGCATTTCGGTTTCTTCAAATCTTCACAGAAAGAGAAAACATATTCAGCTAAATCAGGTGAGTCGTTTATGTGAATTGCTCTCATGACATATAATTCTCGGCCAGATAACGCTTTCAATGGCTTTTTTCCACAAGGTTGGCTGTACAGAATTGGACAGAATGGATAAAAATATAAAAATAAAAACTAAAATCTTGTTATAAATGCCTTACGACTAAAATAAACTAAAATCCGTCCATTTTAAATATCTAATAATTGTTTCCTCGTCCCATGTGTTCATGCATCTTCGCAGGCAGTTTGCTGGGAAGAAAAAGGCAGTAATTAAGAACTGGCAAGAGTGAATTTTCTGTCTTTGCTGCTGCAGTTTGCTCAAGAGGGGAAGAGAATTTGGAAATAAAAGAAAATGGAAGAAGAATTATAAAGATCTTCTTTGTATATCTCTTTAATGTATTTGTTTTAAATTGTTACCTGTTATTTTTTTCCTCCATGCAGTAGGGAACAACCTTAGAACTATCATGTGAAAAAATAAAAATAAAAATCAAGGTCTTTTTTCATTCTGAATAGTTGTTGCAATTGAACTTGTAAAAATTGGTACAACGTTATATGCCTGCTGTTATTTTTGTGAAGCACTAAATGAGAAGCATTTTTTGGAGGTAAGGTAGTGTAGCATTATTCGTGAGCGGTTATGCTATATGTACATGATGATTTACATAATAATTTACATACAAACGATGTGGAGAGAAATGATTGGATCAAGATTTCTTCAACCAAATAAAAAAAAAAATCTCTTTTTTTGACACATCATCTGTATGTAAATCAGTATGTAACTCTATTATATATAAGTAACATTATTCGTGGACTAATTATCTAAATTGACACTGACCTTTATCGAATATTTTTTAGTTATCATTAAATTTTAAAAGTTTTTTCGAGATGCCATTGAACTTTCTCAAATGGACATTAAACTGAAAGTTATCTGTATAGCCGTTGAACTCACAAAAATGTAATCTTATACATCACTCTCCTACTTATTGTTTTAAAAGTTAACGAACTTGATTATATGACAGATAAAACGAAATCACTCGATCCAACCGTTCAATGTCATGGCATTGCTATTTCAATAGAACCATCAAATTCTTGGTTCTGAGACCTTGAGCCAGTTAAATTTTAGCCTAAGCCAAAGTGAGTCGACAAATTTGGTCCAATTCTAGTCCGAGTTTGGCTAGTTCTTCAAGAAAAAAAATAAAAATTGATCCCTCCATTTGACAAAATTTATAAATCATTTATAAATTATCAAACTTTATTTTCAACCATAAATTCCAATAAAATAACTATTCACGTATTCACCATTCATTATATCTATTTTTTAAAATTAATCTTTTTGCAAATTCTTTGCTAACGGAGAAAGAACAAAAAACGCTCACCTAAGAAAAGAATAATTTATTTGTTTAAATTTTTATCTTAAATACACCTCTCGTGTGAAACACAAATTATTTTTATTCAAAGACTTGAAATATGGAATTTCAAAATGGATTGTTTTACGAGACTTGAACTTAGGACATAAATATACTCTAATATTATATTGAATCACACCTTTAAAAATTTAAATAATAACGAAAAAAAATTACCCATTTATATTTATATGTTGAACATTAGTGAGCATGCGGGTCAGAGACGGATTTAAGACCGGATTATAAGTCGGGCTAATACGTAAAAATAAAATAAAATTACACGTTTTTTTTTTTTACATAAATTTTTTTTTTCCCTGACTAAAAAAAATCAGTGGGCCCCCCTCCATCCGTCCCTGACACGGGTTAACACCACGCATAAAAAAACAACACAAGAATCTTGTACCAAAGAAACGCCAGCCTATCTACAAACTAATGAAATGAACAAATGTAGCAATGTAATGTGCAATAAATTTATAGAGACAATATCTATAATAAAAATTTGGAGTTACAAAATTCTATTTTCTTTTCAAGGAAACACGGAAAGGGACATTTTAGATACTAGGGTGTGTTTAAGCCATATTATTTTGGAAGAATGTATTTTGGAATAGTAGATTGATGGAGAATGTGTGGTTGAAAAAGAAGGAAAAATTATTGATGTGATGAAAATATTATTTTATTGAAGAATGTGTGGTTGAAAATGAATTTATTAATTTTATATAAATCCATAAAAAATTCACAGAAATCATCACATTAAGAGCTTGTTTGGGAGAGATTTTTGGGGGAAGAATTGATTTTGAATAGTGATATGATGAGAAATGTGTAGTTGAAAAAGAAGAAAATATTATTGATGTGATGGAAAATATTATTTTATTGAGAAATATGTGGTTGAAAATGAGTAGAAAATGATAATGAAAATTTTAATGTGTACCAAACAGGGGCTAAATCTATATTTATATTTATATTATTTGTTCAATTATTGAAATTTTCCAAATTACGTTATTGAGATTCTTACCTTCCTTAGAATTTGAAGGTAGTATTTTAGGAATGACAGAAACTTGGAGAAAAGGACAAGACCTCCCCAGCCACGGGTCCTTAGTACTGACACTCTCCATTTTTAGTACCCTAATAATTGAGAAGAATATCGGGGAGCAAATGAATATAGTGGCACGTTTGTTGTGTTCGACTAGATAGAATTGAATAAGACTAAAAAGAGACTGTGATAGTTTCTTCGTTGTCGATTCATGTACAAAGAAGTCAAGTGTTGGTAACATGTTGTATTTGGAAAATAGTGAGTTAATGGTGGGTAAAAATTTTGACTTGGCTAATAAAAATGATAATGTGATATAGGAAATCTATTGGTGCACTTTTCTTTTAACTTTAAAAAAAAATTATAAAGGACAATCACCATGAATAAACAATGAAAGAAAAAGGTGAAGGGCAATTAACCCCATCAAGATCGATTGAGAAATTAGTAGCAAAAGAAGCAAGACGATGGGATATTCATTTCTCCGTCTATAGAAACAAAGCAATAAGAGCCACATCCCATCTCAGATGACAATGTTACAATATCTCATAAAATATAATCAATTGAGACAAGATCACAATTGGAATGATCGCTACAAACAACGCTCAAGGCATCACATTCAACCTTAAAATTCCAAATTACATAATACTTGGTCAATTAAACTTAATTAGACTTCGATGCATACTAAAAGCAATTCACGTATAATTTTCTTTTACACCAAACCTAAATTTGGTGGTGACAAAATCCCTAATTATAGAAATGGTTATTATATTACCATCATAAATTTTACTTGCTACACCAAATTATAATCACACTACAATTAAAATATATTTTTAATAAATATAACACAACAAATTTAAACCATGCACCGCAGCAACGCTGCAGAGAAAAGAAATAGGGGTACAAGTTAATGATTGTAGTGCTCAGTGTTATAAATGAAAATATTTGATAATATATTTGACAGGAATTAACAAATCGGTTGAACCACCGGGTCATCGGTTCAATCGTTTGAGGTGTTGCATTGCTCGGGTCGAGTTTGACAACTATAGTGTGTCAACAAAAAAATGTTTTATATCAAAAATAATAATATTTAAATACTTAATTAATTAAGTAATTTTACCCAGGACCATATAAGTAACAAAAAAATAATAATTAAAATTGTGATATAAAAGGTAAAACGCATCCTAATTATCAACGTTTGGTGAAACTTTTTGTCCCACGCGAATATAATAACATATTTTGTCTGCAGCTTGTACTAAATCTAATATGATAAAGTGTCCTAATCACCGACGTCTCTCAATAATTTCAATTTGACCATTCTGTTTATATTTTTTATTTCAAAAAATTTGACTATTCTCTTCGTAATGGTTATAAAATCCATGACCTAATAGATGGGATATAATCTGGCCGACAGAGTTCAGACTTGACAAGTGTAATGACTTATATTTATATATTGCGCACACATTAAAAAATTATAATTAATATAATTAAGAACATGTTTGGTGCACATTAAAATGAGAAATGCATGCATTTTTTTGAAATAACGTGATGGGAGATATGTGGTTGAAAATGAAGGAAAAGTTATTGATGTGATGGAAAATATTATTTTATTGAAAAATGTGTAGTTGGAAATGAGTAGAAGAATGAGAATGAAAAAAATAATATGGGTCAAACAGGAGCTAAATTTAGTCTGAGAAAAACTAGTGATGTGATGGAAGATATTATTTTATTGATGAATGTGTGGTTGAAAATGAGTATAAGAATGAGAATGAAAAAAATAATGTGGATCAAGTAGGGGCTAAAAATATAATTTTTCTGATATGTCCTTGCGTTATATAAACCATGAAAATCACACCTACAAATATTTTTTAACTTTCCAATTCAAAATTCAAGTTTAAAATTTTTTTATTAAAAAATCAGATAATATTTCAAATATTCAATATTAATAATAATATTATAAAATTAAATTAATCTACCCCACAACCACCCCCCATCACCCCCACCACATCAAATTTCACTTCCCAAACCATAATTATTTTTCTCAATATTCTCTCTTTATCACACACAATCATCACAGAGTCGTCGTCGACGCAACACTCATCGTGCGCTCGCCGCGAACTCAAGACATTGTTGTGACAATAGTGTGAGTGCCACTGCGTAGCTGTGTTTACACTGCAACGGCGAGCAATGATCATGCAGCAACAAGCATCGAACCACGATTGCTACGGTCTACAGCGACGTCCCAATGCGGTTAGGGTGTTTTGGATGGTTTGGGGTTGATAGTTGTTTAGATCTGAGATGAGATCTGTGTTTTGGTACTTTAAATGTGACGGATATGGTGGTGAACTGGTGGCAAAGATGGTGGTAGAGCAGGTTTGGAAAGCAGATAAATGAAAGTTGGAAGTTGCTTTGGAAGTGCAGCATCTGGATCGGTGAGACGACGATAAGTTGAAATTTATTGTTGCATTGAAGTTTGCAAACGGTGATGGTTGTTACTGTTGGTGGTGGAGTGGGATGGAGTGGGATGGGATGAAGAGTGTTTGTGACCAACTATTTGGATGATTTGACTAATAAGGCAGTTAATTTATAACCAATAAATAATATGTGATCGATAAGATACATTATTTGTAACCAACAAATAATATGTGACTAAAAAAAGATGTAAAATTGCGACTCACATTTTGTTAAGCTGTGACCAATTAATTTGATAATCCGTGATCAATAAATAACTTGTGACCAATTGATTTGATAATTTATGATCGTAAAATAAGTTGTAATCTATAAAATTTGTGATTTGTGATCGAGATATAATTCGTGATCTATTAATTTGATAATTTGCGACCGAT